CGCCACTCCTCTTGCAAGCTCTCGCCCGGTTGCCCTAAGTAGGGGCGTTGAGCACCAGTGTTATTGGGCTTGGACTTTATTTTTCCTCTATTTAAGAACTTGCACGCCCTAGGATTGGTATCTCTTGATGGCTTGAGCACAGAAACACATGTTTTGCCCCTTTGGAGGCATATTTGGGGATGCTAGAGCTCTCCTCTTCAGTTTCTAGGGTTTTTCTATCTCTTTCATTCCATTGTACACCTAATTTCTTCATGACGATGGAGAAATAATCCTATTTGTTGTTGGGGAAGCTGTAACCTCTAAACTCTCATGTATTTGAATTTGTTTTGAATTATTATATGCTTCTTTCATTAATTGTTAGGGATTTTCTCCTTTGCTCTATGCTTATTATATTTGGCTTATTCATGGCATGATTTTATGGTCTTCTTTGTTATTGGGAAATACCTAGAAACCAGGATCTGAAGAATTTCTCCCAAAAGCAATATTGCCCAGGGATGGGGATAGGAGGTTTGGTTGTCTTAAGCTTCTATTCGTAATGCAAAATTAATTATTAGGGATGCAAGGGATTGTGGTCTAATAATTAAGGATAGGCTTTCTTTGCCGAGGGATCGGGTTTTAAGTAATTTAGAGAGTGACGTTAACAATTTAATGAAGAAGATGAATTCTTATATGCATGAAAGTAAGGATGGTGAAATCTAAACCCTAACAACATTATCATCTCATATTATCAACATCATCCATTCAATCTTGTGTTTTAGCCTTAATTGATCAATTTGCATTCACATTTACTTTTCTTGTATTTGCATTTGCATTTAAAAACCAACAAAATATCTTTTCAGTCTTAATTAGTTAAGTAATTACACAATTGTTTAGCGCCATAAGTCTTCTGGGATACGATACTTGGTCCTACCATTTTATATTAATTGATACGATTTGGTACACTTGCCAATATGTTAACAATTATTCGTATATAACTTATATACGGATTATCGATATATAACTTATATATGGATATATCCGTATATAACCTTATCTACACCCCTATTATATATGGAATTTTGGCTGTATGTAATCCGCATATAATACCACTTTATATACGGATTATGCAGGTTATATATGGATTTTGGCCGTATATAAATGCAATTTTTCTTGTAGTGAGAGGATGAGTCGCTTGAGAGCAATGGAGGCGACGAACAAATCCAACGAGCCGCTGTAGAGAGCAATGGAGGCGGGGCAGGGAAGAAGAAAGAAGAGCAGTGCGGATGCAAGGAAGAAGAAAGACGAGCAGTAACACAAATTTTTTTATGCGTTTTGGATATAAGTAAGTTATACTACCTCAGTTTTCCCATTAGCCAAGGCAATAGAGATATATATGCTTTGGTTCATCCACTAACTAATGCCTATACGCCTCAGAAAAAAAAAACTATATATGAAATGGTATTTTTGCAATTATCTTCAAATTATACGCCTCGGTTTGCTGCTTAACCGAGGCATAAACCCCTTTTCACACTAATTTTGAATGAACTGAGGTCGTAGGGGTTGGGCAAAAAGATTGGAGCATTCCATATTTTGACCTGTCAATGCTGGACAAGACATACTGCCTCGGTTCGTTGGGAAACCGATGTAGCATATCAGGATTCAAAAAGCTGTCAGACGAAAAGTCAAATCTGCAGGAATTTTTCAGGATGTTAGGCATTGGTTGGCTTTGTAACTGAGGTAATAGAGGGTATATGCCTCGGTTCCCCTTAAATCGAGGCAGATAAGTTCAACTAAACTACGAAGATGTCATCTCATTCTGATAGGCTTAGATTTCTTTCAACTGAAACCTATTGTACGAGTTTAAAACCTTGTTTTTTTACTAATCAAGAATATATTTTTGAAGAAAAAAATTCCTACTTATAGAAGCAATTTATTTCAAAACTCAACTTATTTGACGAACTCAAAATGTATTTATGAAGTACTTGGAGAAAGATAATCTTAATTACTTTTTATAAAACATAAATTATGCTATCTTTGTTTATATTTTATTTTTTTATAAGACCTTTATATTTATTCTTAGAAAAATATTATTTTTAATTATATAATAATTAATTATATTATTCTAGGATTCAGAATAATCAACCATTATTTTAACTAATAATTAATTATCTAGATACATAATATTTAAAATAATTTTGTATAATTTATTATTATTTTTTAATATAGTTGACTATTTATTTATTATATTCTTAAAAAACTTCTTTAAACACAATCTATTAAAATAAGACTGAAATATATTAAAATAAGGAAAACACGCTTTTCCATTTTATAAAAATAATAGAAAATTTATATTTTGTCAAATAAGACTGAAATATATATTAAATTTTTTAATACACTCAATCAAGGAATTATAATAATCTAAGATAAGTAAGGACATTTTTCCTTATCCCAAAAGAGAGTATTAATCATTTATATTTTACCATCATATTTTAAATAATTTAATATTAATAAACTAAGGTTTAAATATATTTTTAATACTTATAAAATTAGAGAATTTTGATTTTGATTTCTATAAAAAAATATTGTGCTTCCATTATTATAAAATTTGAAATTATTCTTTTAGTTTTTATAAAATAGATCAATTTTGATTTAGTTCTTTTATAAAAAAAAATCATTAAATATAACTTCTCTAAATTTTTGAATATTTATTTTTAGTCTCTAATATTAATGTTAAAATGTAAATAAACAATTAGTATTCTTTTTAAGATTTAAAATGTTATTCTTAGTGGTACAAATGCCTACAACAATATATGTAACTTATAATAGTTATTTAACTCTCTTTTTTTTTCAATAGACAGTAATTAATTAGTGTTATATAATTATAAAAGAAATCAATTTACAAAAAAAATTATAAAAACTAAAATAAAAGTTTGCTACTAAAATAATAGTTAACTCATAAATTAATTACTCGGATATGAATCTCATTAATTGGTTTCATTATTTGAGTTTGTGACTTTTCATGGAGTCAAGTTAGAGTCATGCCAAAACAAATTTATCGAAAGACATAACATCTAAAATAATTTCAGCAGACAAAAACGAAGCTTCCACTAGTGCAGAATTGGCTTTTAACGTCCCCCATAGACGTCCGTCCACAAAAGCCCCAACGTAAATAATTGACCGGTGGCATATTCGTAAATAAGTGAAACTCTAGACGTCCGTTGTGAGGGGAGACGGACGTCTATAATACTATAGACGTCCGTGGGAGGGGCCCGGACGTCTAAGAGGCTGAAAAAATGAACGTTCAACTCCCCTGTCAGCCCATCAAACGTCCGTGCAGGAGGGGCATGGACGTCTATAATATTATAGACGTCCGTCCCCCTCCACACGGACGTTTAAGTGGCTGAGAGACAATTAATTCTTCAAATACCTGTCAGCACCCGAAACGTCTGTTGTAGAGAGGGACGGACGTCTATAATATTATAGACGTCCGTGCCCCTCCTGCACGGACGTTTGATGGGCTGAAGACAATTAATTCTTCAATCACCTTGTCAGCACCCGAAACGTCCAATATCGGGGGACGGACGTTTATATAATTATAGACGTCCGTCCCCCTCCACAACGGATATTTGGGGTGCTGACAGGTATTTGAAGAATTAATTGTCTCTCAGCCACTTAAACGTCCGTGTTGAGGGGGACGGACGTCTATAATATTATAGACGTCCGTGCCCCTCCTACACGGACGTTTGATGGGCTGAAGACAATTAATTTTTCAACCACCTTGTCAGCACCCGAAACGTCCAATATCGGGGGACGGACGTTTATATAATTATAGACGTTCGTCCCCGTCCACAACGGACGTAGAGAGTTTCATTTATTTAGAACCCAGCCCCCCCTTCTGATCCAATCATTTCTACAAGCAGGGGGGCGATCTTATCGCCTCTCTTTCTTACCGGGAGGGCAGTCTTATGGCCTTCACCTCCCGCCCGGCCCGGAAATGTCTGCTTCAACCGCAGTTTCACCTCCCAAAAAGCAAAGTTGGCTTGACGAGCGCAGATGCGAGGAAGCGGGAGCAAGATAAGCGCTTTTGCTACTGAGAAAGCGAACGCGCGACGATTCAAGACTTAGCCGAGCGTTATCGAAGCTAGATTTACCGAGAGGCTTCGAGTTAGCGAAGCGCTGTAGTAGCGCCGGCCGATGCTGAGCCAAGGACGCTCCGCCTTATCTATAGAAGCAGTCAACCGAGTGCACAAAGGACGTCTGGCAGTGCACAACGAACGTCAAACCCCAGCCCTACCACAAAACAATTCAGGCAGGTGGTCATCGCGGTCCTGTGTTAGGTCGGACGTCTATATAGACGTCCGGCCTGACACAACGGACGTTTATATAGACGTCCGGCCTGACACAACGGACGTCTATATAGACGTCCGGCCTGACACAACGGACGTCTATATAGACGTCCGGCCTGACACAACGGACGTCTGAGTAACGTCACCCATAAAGACGTCGGGGGAACGTCGGACGTCAAAAGGCCAAAAGAACGGACGTCTAAAGCCCTTTCTGCACTAGTGTTCAAATTTGAATGTTAAAAACTTTATGATTAAACCTTTTTAATGTGTCTATTTTAATAATGCAACATCGAAAGGCAATTGATTAATCGCTATTGGGTGTTGGCTAGCTAAGTTGCATGGAAGAAGTGGTTGCATATATAGGAAGACAAATAATGGTAGAGAAAAATTATGAGAAAAGTGTTTGATGAAATACCTAGACGAGGTTCATTTATAAAAGCTTTTGCTAATTTTCTGTGGTGATTATTTTTGTACGAACGTGATTTTAAATAGTTATAATTTTGTCCACGATATTTACTTTCAAAAATGATAAGATGGTTGTTCACTAAAATTAGAAGATAGAACCAAAATTATCTCTAAATCAGTTAGCAAATATGAAGAAAAAACCAAGTTTGAACAGGTTTTTGAGCTTCCAAATATGGTAGAACCACATAGACACCACACAAAAATGGAACAGAACCTCGTGCATGGGCTATAAAAGGATTCCATAGCACCCTCATTCTCTCATCACAAGGGGAGCAACATCAATAACCAATAAAAACAATAACACATTAATCACCATGGCAAGGTCATTTGCTGTTGTTGCCCTCTTTGTCTCAGTTGTGTGCTTCTCGTCTGCCTTAGCTCGCAAAACACCTGAAAGATTCTTCGTTGAAGGCAAGATTTATTGTGATCCTTGCCAGTTTGCATTTGAGTCCAGACTCAGCTTCCCCTTGCCAGGTAAATTTCCTTAATCACCATCATATTATCATGCATTTATATCTGTGTTACAAGTGTTCATAAGCAAGTTTTACTTGGAGCAGTAGCTACTAACTAGGCTTAAATGTACATGCATGAGCTATAAAAGTCATAACTTAATCAAAGTTTTACTTGTAAGAGATTTTCATAACATTCAGAAACTGGGGTTTGTGATAAGTATCCATTCTAGTACATGAGATTAAGAAAAAGGAAGGTGCAGGAAGTGAAGAAGGATAACTAACAAATGTTTGAACATGTGTCTACAGGTGTGAATGTGACTTTGGAATGCATAATGGAAGAGAATGATACAGTGTCATATTCGAGGAAGAGCTCAACTGATGCAAATGGCTTGTACAGCATCCCTGTCCGTGGTGATCACGAGGAAGAGATCTGTGTGGTTGTTGCAAACCCACCAAATGAGGGACAATGCAGACAGGCAATGCCAAACAAGTCCGACAGAATCATTCTCACCAAAAACATGGGTGCCGCATCTCAGACTCGTTATGTCAATCCCCTTGGGTTCATGACACAGACAACTGATCCACAATGCACTGACGTTGTTCAGGAGCTAGGACTCGACAAACTTTTTGATGATTAAGTGGAAGAGAGAAATGAATTAAACTCAATCCACAAGAGAGAACAAAATATCATGTGATGTTGGATCAGTTTGTCTTGTATCTATTATAATTAACCATTATCCGTGATGTGTTGTCTGCAAACACTTTATTTATCAAATAAATGATATTTGGATTTTGGTACAGACATTAGTTATTGATTTGTTCTTTCTCTTTAAGGAATTACAATGTAAAGATGATTGATGAATCAAATATCCTATTTGTTGCCTTCAACTGAAGATATTCTTCTCTGGTTTATCTTATCTGCCATAATTCCAAGCCAGTTCATGGTCTTTGATATTGTGGTCAGTCACACAGTCTGTTCCTGAAGCATTTTCTCGTTGTGGAGGAATTTTACAATGTCTTGTAGGCCTTCTCTAACATCAGAGATCTTTATTAGCTCTCCTGCAATTTCAGCTTGAGTCACTTGTACTTCTCCGAGAAGCCCTTCAATCCGGTGAAAGAGTTCGTGCTTAGAAATTCCAAGGTAATTGAAGGCCAATTGCTCAAAAGCAGAAAAGTTACAGTATGACAGATGAATATGCATGTCCATTCTGCCAGGTCTTAACAGAGCAGGATCCAGCTTCTCTTTGTGATTGGTTGTCAAAATAAAAATGCGTTCCTCTCCGCAGCATGACCATAGACCATCTATAACATTTAACAGTCCTGAAAGTGTTATCTGTTGAAAATTAATAATCACAGCATTAGTCTAAATAAGTTCATGTTAAACATCATTATCATTATTAGTCCTTGCGGCAATATACTTTTTAATGTAAACTTTACATAAACAAAATAATAAGAATTGCAAGCATATAGATGTTGTTAACATGGATAGAGATAGATGCACACACTCATGTTCCTATATTTGTTATCATGTTATAAATCTGAGGATTGTGTAATGAAAATTGACACAGCTTTTGAGAAGAAAAAAGAACCTTATTGTCTCCATTCTTAACTGCTTCTCCATCTTCTTCTCGGTTCTGCAGCTTTATAGTGCAATCAATGTCCTCTATCACAAGCATGAGCGGTTAGACATGGCTAGGATCAAATTTTTTAATTCATTATTGTCTTGGACAATGGTGAGATCCAAGTCATATATATCATAGTTCAGATAATCGGACATGGAAGCAATAAGGCTAGACTTGCCAGTGCCAGGAGGGCCATACAAGAGGTAACCACGTTTCCAAGCTTTCCCAGTTCTTTTATAGAACTCTTTTCCGTTCACAAACTTGTCCAAATCATTCACTATTTCCCTCTTAAGTTCTGCATCAATTGCAAGAGTCTTGAAAGTCATGGGGTGACCAAGTTTGATACCAGGAACTTTCCAATAATAACTTGTAAAGCTTCACTGCCTCATTTTCTTGTTTGATGTCCTTGGCTCTCTCCAACACGTATTGAAAATATGAACTGAATATCTTCTCCTTGTGTTTCTTTGGAAAACATAGCTCATAGTACCTTATTTCTGACCTCAAAGAGGAATTCATATCACGATGCTTATTCCGGATTGACTCCGCTTGTTTACATATGTATTTCCATCTTATTTCAACCCCTTCAAATTCATCATTCACTTCTTCATCTCTGTCTACACCGAATGATAGATTTTTATCATTCTCTGATTTGCTTGCTTTAACTCTTTGAGCTGAGAGAGTGGCTTTGGTGGTGAGATAGGCGTCAGCAGCCTCAAACACTTGGTTTCTGGACATGCCTTGAAATTCTTCGATGATGACCGTGAGTCGGGTGGATAATTTGCGAGATAGATTTTGAAGTCCTGAGTGAAAATATTCCAAGACTTCATTAGGAACAAACTCATTGGTAATACTTCTGAACAGCACAGCTGAAGCAGCAAGGGAGGCCACAGCAGTTAAAAGGGTCTTGCTATCGGACATGCTTTTGGTTAATGGAAAACAAGGTAACACAAAAGATTGACAAATTGTTCAAAACTTCAACTCAAAGATCAAGTCTGAACCAAAATCAGTTCCTCAACATGAAACTAAACTTTAAACCCAACCAGGCAACAAAACTCTTTGTTTGGACCTTGTATGAGATGATCTCAATATGCAGGTTTTTGCACATGGGCAAATTTGCCTACTATATTACCAAAATAGGCAAAGTCAAACAAATTTACGTAAATGGGGAAGTCGTGGGGGGCCCAAACGACTTCAAATGAAGAAGTCGTGCCCCCCTGCACGACTTCACACTGTAGATTACTACAGTGCTGAAGTCGTGCACCCCAAAAACGACTTCAGAGGACTGTAATCGATTACAGTGTGCTGGTAATCGATTACAACGTGTTGAAATCGTGGTCACCCAGCACGACTTCAACTTGAATGGGAAAAATGCACTGGTAATCGATTACGGCAGGTGTGTAATCGATTACCAGGTTGTTTTTTGTGGAAGATTGACACTGGTAAGCGATTACAGGGTCGTGGTAATCGATTACCAGTGTGTTTTTGGTTGATTTATGAAATTTTGTATTGTAATTGTGGTGGATATTTTGAAGTTTATTAAGTGTGTTGATATGAAGTTGTGTAAGCACGCATCGTTGTTAATTACATTGTGATGTATTGTTTTGTATAGGAAGAGTATATCATTTGATTTAATAAAAATAAGAGAATTTCATAATATGAAAAGACAAAGTATTTTATTGAATGAAAAGTGCATTACATAAAGAAGAACAACCTAAAATGTAAAGAAAATGACAGTAGAAATTGAAAGACATCTAGGAAGATGATCCACCGTGTGGACCAAAATGACGACGCAGATACTGGATGTCGTGCTCCACATTTTCAACTCTAGCATCAATA